AWYCYWWKAMMAAAAAAGGTGATCACTAGTAGAGATGTTATCTTTGATGAAGATAATTCTTRGAAAGGATTGYYCTRTGARGATGATGGAAKTTGTATCCTACTTGATGAATCTCATCAAGATGATATGAACATCCCTTCTGAGCAAAGTGAACCYACTACTCCKATGAGAGAGTCMTCATCAAACTYATCTGAGCAGGATACACSTAATACAGAAGATGCAGCCTCTGGAAGTACTTCCTCTTCTGAGAGACCAAACAGAAAGACTAGAAGCTTGAGAGATTTATATGAAAGCACTCAACCAATCAATTTAGATGTATTGGCTAACTTTGCCTTTTTTTTTTGACGCAGACCCTTTACACTTTGAAGATGCATGCAAAGATCAGAAATGGAGGGAAGCCATGGACAATGAGATGAAGTCTATACTTAAAAATAATACATGGGAAGTAGTTGATTTACCAAGAGGCCAAAAATCTATTGGAGTAAGGTGGATCTACAAAACTAAATACAATGAGAAGGGAGAGATAAACATAAAGCCAGACTTGTTGTGAAAGGGTATAAACAACAACTTGGTATCAATTACCAAGAAGTGTTTGCCCCTATGATCATATTAGAAACCATACGGCTGATTCTAGCAATAGCTGCTCAATTCAACTGGAATGGGCATCAAATGGATGTGAAGTTAGCTTTTTTGAATGGGTATTTAGAAGAGGATGTATATGTGGATCAACCTGATGGGTACAAACGCAAGGGAGAAGAACCTAAAGTATGTCACTTGAAAAGGCTCTCTATGGGCTTAAGCAGGCCCCTAGAGCTTGGTATAGCAGCATTGAAAAACATTTTTTTGAACATGGGTTTGAAAAGTGCAACCATGAACATACACTCTTCATTAGAAGAGAAGGTAACACTATACTCTTGGTTTGCATTCATGTCGATGATATAGTTGTTACAGGGAACTCCATGGAGTTGATTTCTGAGTTTAAGGGATCTATGAAAAGAAATTTTGAGATGATTAATCTGGGTTTATTTCATTACTTCTTGGGGGAATAGAAGCCACTCAAGGTAAGCATTTTATATCAATTTCACAAAAGAAGTATGCTAGGGATCTACTAGGAAGGTTTAATATGAGTGATTGTTTGTCTGCTGCTACCCCTATGGAGCCTAGATTAAAGCTGTCAAAAGGTGATGGTGAAAGACTAGTAGACTCAACTCTATATAGAAGTCTTGTTCGATGTTGTTGGATCGATTAACTAAGATTCTTGGTAAAGATTACTTACTTGGATGATCTGTCTAACAGTGAGAATGCAGCGGAAATAATAATAATCAACCAAAGTAGAAATCAATAAACACAGATGAAGATTAATGATTAACACAAGAGAGAGAGCTTCAAATGATTTTCAATAGATGAAAATATTAACAATTACAATACTGAAGCACACTGAAATACAAGGGCGTACACTACTATTTATACAAGTCAATAACCGTTTTCTGACATGACCTAAAGTAATTAATCTAAGCCGTTCGATCAAAATAAGTTACATACAAGATCACGTGATAAGCACGAGCAGCTAAAAGACCTAAGTAAAACAGCTAAAGAAGATCTAGACAGAAGACATGTTGCAGACCCTCTGTAAGACATCACAGAGGCTCTGTTGGATATAACTTGAGAGCACACTTGACGTAGAAGAAAACTTCCAGAACCTCTGTGAGACACGACAGAGGTTCTGTCGTCTTTGTCTTGAAGCATTGTCTTCTAGAGGACCAGTTTCCAGAACCTCTGTTGGACACGACAGAGGTTCTGTCACTTGGGACTTGTACGCTTGAGCATCTTCTGCTATTGGTCCTCTGTGGTCTTCTGTGACAGATCATCTTCTGTCAACCCTTGCAGTATTACTTTTTTCATACTTTTACATTTAAAGAAATGAGATCTAACAATCTCCCCCTAAGTATGAAAAAGTAAATAATGAAATTTAAGTGCAGGGACATGACTTGATTGAAATTAAAACAAGAGGTGATTAAACATCATCCTCTGAAAGGTTTACAATTACAATGAAAGGAATTACAATGTAATGAATTACAAAAACTTAAATGACAAATATTGAAGCATAGGCCGGGTTCTAGAACAGAAGAGAATTAAACCATAGACTCTGGGAAGTCGTCTACTGCGTAAACAAAATCTGACTTGATTGTTCTGTAGACACTGAAGATGAACTCTCTGAAGTTGATTTGAGCTTTAATTGCATCCAAGAGAGGAGACACTTCACCAACCCTGTAATGTCTTCTATCCACCTCTGCCACTAAACACTTGAAGATCCAGTCCAACGTCTCTGATGAATACTTGTGAGCTTTTGTTGGGTCGAAGAATCTTAGTAGCTCATCCTTGTCCAAATACACAAACCCAAAAATGGGATTGTGTAGAATGGTGTTTGGATAGTACTTAGATACCCAATTAGGCCTGCTGTAAGGAGGAGTGATCTTTAAATTATTCTGTGCTAATCTCATGGCCAACTCAAAATCCTTCTGGCTATAATAGATCACTTACGCACGCATAACTTCAATCAGCCTCTTGAGAGAAATTTGGTATGTTTTCCTCCTCTCCATGTAGATGTTAAGGATCTTGTGCATATATATGACATCATACACGCAGAGGTTATGAAGATCTGCATCARTGAACGTATAGATGTTGCCGTCTTCTCTCCTTACAACGTACAGTGAGTAGAGTACGGTCTTCTTTAACAGAGTCCTTGGTGAGATTGTCACCAAAGAAGTGATCATTTGGCACGAGAAAACCTGCTCACGAGGCCTTGTTAACCTGGAGAAGTGGAATTTGGCTACGACAGAGGGGATATCAGTGAGCTCTGGGTCATAGGGTGGCTCTGTGTCTGTTACAGAGTACTTCCAAAAAAGAATTCCTTCTGGGGTAGTGACAGCCTCTGTGCGAACATTTTGCGTTGGAATCTTGCTCATAGATTCAAGAATTTCAGAGACCCGTCCTCCCGCTGTAGGCTCTGTCATCTTCTGTTCTTCTTTTTCTTCTTCTTGCAAAATCAGCCTCTGGGTCGATCCTTCTGCAAGGATAGGCTTAACGGTTACTTGTAGGGCATCAAACGTACCCGTGGACGTTGTTTGGACTTGTGGGAAAAAGGATGTTGTGGCCTCGCCTTCTCTGTGGTGCATAGGCACTCTGCCCTTCTTAGCCTGAGCCTCTGCCAGAGAAATCTTCAATACTTTGAGGAGCTCAGGGTCATCAGCATATTTTTCTTCATCAATTGGCTATGGAGTTCCTGTGCTCGATGAAGACCCTTTCTTTGAAGATTCTTCAGCTATGGCCTTTCCCTTGCCTTTAGGCTCTGCAGCCTTTTTCTTGCCTTTGTCAGCAGCTGTAGACTCTCCAATCTTTACACCAGTGGCAGGTGCTCTGGCGGATGTCTTCTTCTTAGATTCTGGGGCCTTGGCCTTCTTCTTTTCCTCCTTCTTCTCCCCATCATGACGATCATCATCACCCTTATGATCGTCATGGCTCTGGATGGCATCAGCCTTGCATGAAGTTAGGGGAGCCCTCCTCAAATGATGCAAAATCTTAGTGGCCGCTTTGTACATTTTCTCTATCACCTTCTCGGCACCTGCAGAGGCATTCATCACATCAAGTTCTGTGGCCCATTTGAGTTTGGAGACGGTGCTGAGGACTTCTGTACGAAGGAGGTCACCTTCCTTTACGAGCTTGGAGGTGCATTCTTTGATGAGATCGTTGGATGTAAGGATCTCCATTTTAAGTGCTCCGAGATGGCCGGTCATAAAATCCCTTAGGGCATCCACCATAGCATCCAGTTCTCTGCGAGTAGCCAAGTGATTGATGTTTGCCCTTGAGGTGGACAAGTCGATTCCATAGGTAATTGCAGAGGAGAACATCTCCTTGATTTCGTCTCTGAACGATGAGTAGTTCGTGTAGCCTGCAGAGACGAAATCAGCTGCAAACTTGGCGGCCATCTCTGTGAGTTCGTCCTTGAGCGTTTTGATGGAGGAGGGGTTAAGTGTCATCGCTTGGAAGGCCTCTGTCAAATCATCCTTCTTAATGACAAAGCTCTGAAGGGTTATCAATGTAGACTTCAACTCTGCAGTGGTGGCGGATAACTCCTTCAGAGCCTCTGTAAGCGGCGATAGATCATGTGGCTGCGATCGTGAGATGAACAAGCTTTGCAACTCGTCCATCTTTTTGAACAACTCTGTGGCAAAGGCGTTAAGCTCCCCCTTTGTCACATAATCATTCTGGGAACTCAGACCACTAACACATGGTGTTCCTTTGGCCTCGGAGCTTGAGGCGCCCTCAGCGGCTGGCATTTCGTAGTCTGCTCGGGGACTT